AGTTGCATGGATGCCATTCTTTCTTTTCCTTTTCTTTCCAATCTGACCTTTAACACTGCAGGAGTTTAAATACTTAATCATTTTCACAACTTTGATGTATGGTGTATGTGTTTTTTTGACACATAATAACGTTACTTTCCTAATAAGAATGCTTTGCAGACCAAATCATTATGCTTCAGTGTCAGGTGCTGAAGCACAGTATATATATATATATTTATTTTTATATATATAGATTAAATATACAATCAGATCCTGTCTATATATATTAAAAAAAAAAAAAAAGCCAGAATCTGAAAAGTATCTTTCCCTATTTGTAGAAATAGTGATTAGTAATAGTGCCAAATCTAAATATTTATCTCCATCAATATAAAAAATATTAAAACAGCAGCCTAGTATTGTATGACATTATTCCACAGCTTCTTCCTTTTGACTTGTGATAGAAGCGACCAACTTTTAGATTGGGGGAAACAGGCCAGTCATGGCATTTGACAAGAAATGATTTGTAGGCAATTTAAAATACAAATAGCCTTCTTTTTTACAGTTTCTTGTTCACTACTGAAAAATTATGAGCAAATCCACTTTGATACGATAAGTGGCAAGAATCAAGTAAGGAGGAGACAGATAAGTTAGAAGAACCAGCTGGATTTCTATTATATCTGATATAAATCTCTTTCGGGGGCTGCATAGGAACACATCTCTAGAGTAGTAAGCTATAAAAAGAAACTGTCTATAAAATTACTGTGAGATGATATTTGTCAAGGCTTGTTTCACAAAAAAAAAAAAAAAAAAAAAAAAAAAAAAAGGAAATAAATTATAGACAAATTGCCAAACAGTAAATTTAACTGATAACATTTGATTAAAAACATCTGAAATAAAACGTGATCCATGTATTTTAAAGATGAATGAACAACTAAAACTTGGGTAAACAATCTGCAGTAAAGTAAGAAATGAAAGTAAATGCACAACAGAAATATTATGTTACACTCTGAAAAAGAATGTAACAATATTCTCTGTTGTTCCTTTAGACTGTGTAACAGTTGTTTGCAGTGTGCTTTATTGTCATGGAGGGAACAGAATTTAAGTCAAAACTGCAGGAACATAAAAGAGATTTATCAGAATGACCATTTGGGAAACAGCTTGATCAGAGGTCAAATGTATCCAGAAACAAACCTCTGGAGGAGGCTTCAGCAGCTACCACAGGAGGTACTTTAGGTACTGTAACCTTTTTTCTCAGGACAGACCCTGATTAAAAGCAATCAGACCGGTCACTGCATTCCAGGTAAGGGAATGATAATGGACCATCCTAAGCAGTTGTCACAGAACACCAACATGACTTTACAACCCCACGGAGCTTAAAAATGGCAATGGCTAATGATTTTGTGGGAAAGATTAAGTATGGCGAGGCATGAGAACTGAGCAGGAGCTGCACATAGAGAATGCAAAGGATCTTGATGAGCAACCATGCAGGGAAAAGTGAGAACAGTTCTATACGTTGATTCAGGGTTTGATGAGGAGGACTGACTCTCCTTACTCTCCATTTATAGTAAGGGCATCATTGTACAGGCATCATTCTACGTATTCTACGTATGTGAAAATAAGCCCTCCAATCAATTCCTGTAGCTTTAAGACCAGCCTTAACTAACTGGGGCCAAGTCTTTAGAAGGTACCCTTTATATTTTACACCTTCAGAAGAATAAATTCTCAAAGGCTTCTCAAAGGCTTCTCAAATTCTAGATTCCTGATGCCAAACACTATGTGAATTCAGTAGTATTCTAGACAAGGCTTCTTGGCATCTATAAATTCGTCTTTCTAGGTGGTAGATACATTTTATGAATCTATTTCAGAACAGTTTCTTCCAACTCTTAACACCTCTGAGTATAAATCCTTCTGCTTATCCATCCCTACTGTTCTGTCCCTTAAGAGGCCTGGAGACTGCCACTCCCACCTCCTCCCAGTCCCTCTTCAAGAATTCTTTCTTCAGCAGTGTCTGTGTCACCAAACAACTGATAGATGTGAGCCTCTCTATTCATTTGAGAAGATGTACAAAAAACGGTTAACACCAGACATATACATGCAAATGTTCCCATTCCTTCCATATACTGAAATCCTTTGGAAAAATACAGAGCTAGGGTTGATAAGATTCTCTATGTACAGCTCAACTGTTTTATCTTCCTACCTTTCCTTCTCATTCATTAGTTTTATCTTTTCAGTCCATTTGAACAGAAATGCTACAGGTTGTTTTGTACCACACAAACACAAGAAGACTGGAGCTCACTGGGACCTCTAGCATTCCTCAGATTCAAAGCTCCTGAAACCAGACACAGAAATATGAACTCGTTAGTATCCTAATGCAACCAATACTAAACTTTCTATCTGCAAAACTTTGCAAATACATTTTCATCACAATAACCTTTGATATGTCCTCCAGTCGGAGTATCTTTAAAGCTTCTAGTTGAAATAATTCTGTTAAAGTGCTTTTCAAAGTAGTGCTCAGCAGGCAGGTGGTATTGTGCAAAATCTGTAGTACAAGCTCACATTACAACTGATTTGTCACTCTTAATAACTGAAGAAAAAATACCTTAGCAAGACTAAATAAAACCTACGGAGTGTCTGCCTAAGAAATATGTTAGTATGTTGCCTATACACTGTTAGTTGAACTATACAAAACCAAACTCCCTTTAGCTGGATGGAGACATGGCTTTCTTTGTAAGATATTTATATCCTACCAATCAATATCCAGATCATACTTAAATACTGGGGCTTGAACTGTGCGCTTTATTTTTCTCTTTATTTGTTTGTACGTGGGTACCTAACTCCATGGTTTTCATACACTACTCAGTGTTTTGAAATTCTGCCAAACAATTCTTAAAAATAACTTAAGAAAGGTGGAAAATTAACACCTCCCGTAGCAAATTCAAAAAAGAAAATAACTATTCAAGGTACTGTAGCAGAATCATTACATTACTTCTTGGAGGCCATGGCTGTCATGTAACAGTTACAAGGAGCAACAGCATTTACTGAAGCTGATAAAATACCTAAAGCCAGGCTATATAGAACAAGACAATACAACTTTTTGCATTTAAACGTAACCTGATAACAACAATCTCAAACAACAATTTCTGTCACTGTTTTTCTCGACTGATACCCTGAGAAACCCCTTGTATCAAAAGCCACTTTTTAGATGGTCTTATCTATCCATTTAGTAATACAAGAGGTCTACTTACCTATGCTTTCTTTGCCTACAAAGTCATTTAGTGGTGTTTAAAGAAATGCTGAGAATTTTGTTTATAAAAAAATACTCTTTTCCTTGTGTTCCCCACAGTTCATGCCCTGAGCTAAGTATTACCCTTGAAAAACCGCAACAGTCAGCAGCACTAGCAGGAATGTCCAGATATCTGACAGCAGAATTTCACCTTCTTGATGGGTAAAAAAAATGCATATTAAGCATAAGGGACAGCAACGTAAGTCTGAAGGAGTCAAACTGAACTGTTTGGATGTTGGATTAGATTGGAGAAAGCACGCACCTCCATTTCACTAAAATGATAGTCAAAATCAGGCAATGCTGATACTTCCCAGAATTAAAATAATAAATAGAAAGAAATTCCAGCTAAACGAATTACTATCCCACTACAGTTTTTACATAATGTGCTATTTACAGTGAAATCTAAGTATTCCATTCATACAATTACTACAAAGACTCTATGGTGCAGAACAGCCTATACAGTAGGCAAGTGTATGGAACCTGTAGCCAAAAAGAACTGTGAATTTCCCCTCACTTACCAGTGTCACAGGTGATCAATGCAAAACAAACTGTTTTCACTCCTTTTGCTTTTAATGCATTTTCTATAGCAAGCTTGCAACAGAATATTTTGTCACATTTTTCTAATCTCCCACTGTCAGCACATTTTAAGTGAAGGAAAAGCAGTGAGCTGTCTGCAAAGTGGGAATGCAGAGGAATTGGCAAGTGTAGAAAAAGCGGAGAAGCTACAAAAATTTATTTTCCAACAAAATAATTCTCCACAAGCTGTGTAAACTTTTCTTACTAAACAAATACTCTAAAACACAAAGATTTTACAGTTCCAGTGAAACACTCACAGTAACATTTGCCTGGTTTTACTCTCTTGAAGTCTCAACAATAGCCAGCAGATTTATGCTTTCTCAATTACCAGGGTCAGTAAACTCCCTCATATTCCCTGACTGCAATTTGGATTTTCAAATTAGTAACAGAATGAAGAAACAAACTCATTGGGCTTTTGAGTAACCTTTGTTTTCTTTGATAGATTCTCACACTTTGCTGCTTAATGTGCCCATGCACACGGCTGCCCATCCACTACCCACTCACTCACATACATACCTCTGTCATGTGTGCTCTATTATTCTGACAATAGAATAAAAATTAGGTTGTGTCCATTGCAATTTTGTAACCTGTGTAAACAAGAACAATTTATAGTGGTAAGCTAGTTATCTTTACTGTAAATTCAAAATGCAAAATTGGGTTTGCAAGGACAGGATAAGGTGTAAGAGTTATTTAGATCCTCTATCTCAAGCACTCCTTCATATTTACATTTAGTATAAGCTTTCTGCTACAGAAGAAAAATTGTTTGGATTGAACACTGTTACAGATTTCCTAAATGAGGCTAGTTCCAGTTGCCAGTAATTCAAAAGCAAATCTGCTGACTTGGCATTAGGACTCTAAAACAGTGTGATCAAACTTATATAGTAAGAAGGTGTCTGCAGAAATAACATTTATAAACTGTATATACAGTACACAGTACCAATACATAGAAAATAGATTTTGACCTCATGATCCCCTGTGTGTAAGGCAAGACTGAATTCCGTTCCCAAATGGAGTCCACCAGAGGTACAAGCAACAGACAGTGGCTCTTAAACCAATATGCAAATCAAGTGCATAACAAATTAAAAATCAGAGCAGACAAAAATTTTTAGATTTTTATATGTGCTGATTCTGGCTTGCTGAATACATGGGAAGTTATTAAACATCAAATGTACCTTTGAAAAAAAAAAACAAACAAACACTAACAACACCTTGATGGCAACAGATATTGTTCAAGTGGCAGCTACCAAAAAAAAGCTTGAAAAATGGCATGGTACAATATCAGGAACTCTGCAGCTGTACCACGCTAATTCATATAGCACTAACAAAAAAAAATAAGTATATGAATATTCTATTTCATGCTATTGCTATGTAAGCAACAGCAATACAAATCAGCATACAGAAGGATACCATATGTTCTGCAGTGAACAACCCAAAGATATTTTCAAGGGGCATTGTTACAAGACTTCCAAGAAACACAAGAGTGCCAGAGGCAAAAGTTACTGACGGATGTAAACATCCCTGTTCCATTCTCCCGTGTCGTTACGTTTTTTAGATATCACTTCCCCATCCTTGTCACAATATTGGTCCCTCGATTTATGACGACTTCGTTGTTTGTTGCATTCATTGTGGTCCTGCTCCCGGTCCCTCTCCTTTGAGCGATGCCTCGATTCTCTATGTCTGTGATCACCATGGGACTCGTCTCTATGATTGTGATCCCTGTGAGAATCATAGTGGTCACCATGCTCATGTGAGTAGTCCTCCTTTGGCTCTACGTAAGCTGAATCTCTGCTGTCTTGTGTTTCTGAGTCAAAAGTTTCTTGCCTAGGAAGGCCTCTAACACCACTGCGATGGTTATGGTGTTGGGTTGAAGAGCGATGGTGGGATTTCTTGATGGGTTCAACCCGTGCTTCCTCTTCAATTTGTGAATTGCTGTGTTCAGGGACTGAGTGGTCATTCCTCTGGTCTCCTTGAGATCCCTGCTGTCACAACCACCAGTGAGTTCACATACACGAGGTACGCATTTTAAAACTTTCACCAATACAAAATTAATCTAGAAAGCATCATGAAACCAAAAAAATTTAAGTACACAACACTCCACTTCGGACCTATACTAGGAAAAAATAACACTTGAATTCAGCTTTTACTGAAAATTCAGTATTATAATACAAACAATTATTTCCACTCTAACTCAAAAGGAGAGTGGTGCTCAGGTTATTATTCTGTGAGACTTTCTGTCCTCATGCAAGATGCTTCTGAGTTTGTCAGTTAGCAGTAATTGCCTACCGTACACCAGACAAAAAAAGAGCATGCAGAAGCAGGACAAACTGCAGAAAAATTAGAGGACACATCACTCTAGGAGAGGGCAGGTGTCAGCTCAGAATTTAAAGATGCCTGGTTGGAACAGACACCGTGGAAAAGTGAGTTTCTGGAAGAGACTCAAGAGAATCAAGAAACAAAATCTTGGCTCAGTTATAGTAGCTACTTTTTCTTTTCTTCTTCTACATTATTTATTTTTTTTTTTAAGATAAAAACACATTTTTAAGATAAAAACACAATTGGATCTTTTTTAATAATAAAGTTTGTATTATGATACTAATAGTATCACTGACCTCCTGCTTTTCTCAGCAATCAGTTGATTTCGTCATGGGGACAAAAAAATTAAATGTTGATCTCATAATTTTAAGAAATCAGAAAAACAGACCATTGCCAAGGAATGTAGAAGGACGGTGATATTATCACCTAAAGAATTTCCTAATGCACCACTACTATTAAAAAACTAAAAAAAAAAAATTACCCGGTAATATTAAACCTACTTTTCATCAGCACAATGCTTTGAAATCACTGCAAAATGAATAATTGGCATTATTTAACTCAGTTTGGGGTTTCATTCAATTAACCTGCTTTTATTCCCAAACCACAGCCAAAGGTTCATCAAGCTTAATTGCAAAATCTTAAGAAATAGTTTATAGGGAATTTGAATTATCTTTCTCACATTAGCTTAAGAACTTCAAGATAGAAACATTGCTTCTGGCACAAAACTAAAAGTAAGTTTTAACAGTTATACAATCATTTGTTCATGAAACTGTACTGAAGATACCAAAGTTAGCCTAAAATTCGCACTCTTATGTTCAGAGCCATCAGAAAACAAAGACTGCCTACAGGGCAGCTCACAGACATCTTTCAGTTTTTATATGTTGTGAGCTGGGAGAAGGAAGAAGTTTTGTTTGACAGACTTCCTAGCAAGTGTGCTTCCTAGCAATTCAACAAGTAAAATTACAGGAAACTGGGCAGGAACAGAACTGCATTTCATTAGGAATTTACCAAAATTTCAAATCAGCAATTTAACAATTTTGATATATCTTTGTACCTAAGACAACATTTTGTATTATTAATAACTTCTCAGCAACTAGATGGGTTGCTCCATGAGAGCAAAGCATCATAAATGGTGGTAGAATTTCTTTTCTTTTTTTTTTTATTCTTGTTTTTGTGGTTACCAAGATGATTGCAATTTGTTGAAAAAAAAATGCACTAATTGTAAACATTATTAGATGTGTTCTAGGTGAACTTCTATGAAAGTGAACTATGAATGGAATCAAATGAAAAGCTAAAGAACAAAGCAATGCCTGCTTCAGATGCACAAACATCTTTTTATTAAAGTTTGCAACCATGACTGTTTTTAAGGCACATAAACTGGATACACACATGAAAACCCTTTAATTCTCATATGGTCAAATGCTAAATATATTCCTCCTCTACATTCTTTTTCACTAGCAAAATCTATCGTTGCTGTGGTTTGAGAATAAATACAAGATCTGAATCTGCTTTGAACAAAATACTGGTTTATAAGCTCAGATGCATCTTCTCTGCTACGATGAGCATCTGTGGAGGAGCACAGTCAATACACTTAGAGCCAGTACCATTATTACCCTGCATCTGCAGACTAGTGCTGAGGCTATTAAGATTTATGGGCAAATTCATTGACAGTTAATTTCCCTAAATATTACAGACACTGAGCAGGTAATTTTTCAGTCTGGACTATGATCTGGCTTTGTGGTTTATGGCCACATTAGAGCTGTGATATAAATTAAATTCTGCAGTGCAGAAGTTTCATGGCCCAATCCCATAAGATTTTCACCCCAAATGGGTTGTAATTTCAAAGATTAGGGGTTCTTGAAAAGAAGTCTAGGCAGAATTGAAGGAGGATAGAGGAAAGTCTGTGTCCACACACTCAGTTGGACTCACTCTCTGTTTCCTCCCAAAGGTTCCCTAATCACCTATACCATATGTTTGCTCTCAGTCTCCTTTTTGGAATTTGCCAGCCACCTCCTACAGGTGGAAATCTCAGAAAAGTTGTCAGGACAGTTTTCTCCCAAGCTCTCTACCAGACAGGCAGGAAGGGTATGAACTTCCCCCAGCCTCATCTCAAACAACCCCCAGAAGACCTGACACCTTCAAGGACCTTGTGCCATGCAATGCACACAGTCAACACTGTGCTGTAGAAGTAACAGCTGGCAACACAAATCTGTCATTGCAATACGCACTTGGGACTAACAAAACCCAAAAACCAACTAGATCTCATGGCAGAGGGGTGCCACATTGGACCCAGAGGAGAATAAGTCAGATGCTTTGCTGTGCAGATGTGACCCTGCCAGGTCAAATGCTTTCTCTTTAGAACAGTCCACAAAGACAACACAAGACATAAGATTCTTCCAATATTAGATCTCGACATGACCAAGAGAATGGGTTCAGCTATCATGATTAGAAAACCCACTCCATTCCATAACCTTGACAAACTCAGGTTTCAGGTGTCAGCTGAATGTATATCAGGAAACTGAAACAAAAAGAACACAGAAGTTCTACATTCCATAAGGAAACTCCTCTGCTCTGCACATTTGGATTAACAGACCTACAAACAAACAGTGAAACCATAAATACACTCTCAATTTTAGTCCTTAAAATAAAAAATTGTTAATTTGAAAGGACATACAGCTAGCAGGTCAGAAATGTGCTTAGTTCTTCCGGAGAATGTGGTTAATAAAATGAGTGAGTTATAAATCCACACCCAACAGACATTAAAAAAATAATTAAAAAAAAACTTGAATAAAAATAATTAACATGTTTACAAAGCAAATCAAGTTTATCTAACAAGTCGGGACACGACAATACTGAATTTCATACTCAGAAATTCTTCCAGCTCACAATTTTTTTCAGGGTGTTTTCAGCTCTGAGGACAGAAAAAAAAAGGCAAAAATGAGCTACAACTTAAAGCCTCTTTTCCTGCAACTGCTTTTGAAAGCTGGAGAGGGAAATACCCTGCAGGGTAGATGAAGCGTTTTTTCTCATTAAAGAGAGAATCTGATAATTCTGTGGGAAATACATTCTAATAATAATTATAATAATTCTATCAGGAAATAAATTCTTCAAGACAAAAAAAAAACAAAAAAACAAAAAAAACTGTTTCGCAAAATCATAAAAACAAAACAATTAAAAAAAAAAATCAGCATTTCAATTACAGCGCACAGACATTTTTTTCTTTAATTTTCGGGGAGTTTTTTTTTAGTCAAAGTGACTAATATGTGCATACTTTTTGGAGTATATACATCAGCTAGGTGTAAATTCAGATGCTATAAGTCATTATTGTAGCTGGGATAGACCCATTTTTACCCTCACTATAATCTTTTTGACCTCGAGGTGTCACTGACTAACTGTAATGAAGCAGCATCTTTAAAGTCCTCATTTCATGCCATGCAACATATATACAAAGGAGAGAATCTCTTTATACAGACAATCTTGATACAGTTAGGTAAAGCAAAAATTGAAAGAGAAAAGAGAAGGCACAATATGCCCAAAGACAAAGGCAGGACAATGTGCAGGTGAGAGCAAAACCCAATCTTCCCAGCTTGCCAGGCATCACCCTGGCAGTTTAAGGCAAGCTGCCTCTCAAGTCTGTCTGCACAACATGCAGTGGGACTCTGCCTTTATGTAAGAGTTTGGCTTGAAGGAAGCGTGCACTTTTCACAATGAAAGCAACAAAAAAAGAGCAAAGGAAACCCTTGAAGGGCCACCTTGACCTTGAGACATCACTAACGCAGTTAGCCACTTTCAAATTCTACATCCTGACACACTGTGGGAAGATGAGCACAGGTTCCCTCCATCCTTTGTGGTTCTGCTCTGTGCATAACCCAGTTTTTCAAGCAGGGACTCTGGGAGTGGGATTTGCTTGCAAATGCAAGCATGCCTTTCAGTCAGAGAGTTACCAGAGGCAGCAATGTGCATAGTATTAGCTCAGTTTTATTCCTCTGGTTGGATTACAATAGAGCTGGCTATAAGAATGCTTGTGGCTGGTACTCATGTTCCAGACACAGTGGTGCTCCAGACACAATGAAACCTTATTCTACTATGCATCTCTATATGTTTTCAATCAAGCTTGCTTAGCCTCAGGAATCAAAATCTGCCCATTAGTCAATATGCAAACACATGCTACTGCAAATACAACAGCAGTAAGAATAACATGCCTGTATTTATAGCTTTCATACTAGAAATGGGCCAACTGTCTACTGGAAAAGCACTTGCTTTATCACCAACTGGAAAACGTATTTAGCATATTCTAGTATCAGACCACCACTTTAGAAGGGAAAACCAAAAGAAAATTTATTAAAAAAAGAAAAAAAAAAAGAAAAAAAAAAAAGAAGATATGGTATAAAAACTGTACCTGTAAGTTAATATTTGGACCTGGGCTTATAGGAAGAGTGGCTGTTGCAAGTGTCCGAGTAAGAAGCTGGTTAGGAGGATTGCTGCTAGGTGGATGTGTGGCCTTCCAGTAGGCTTCCAGATAGTCAGCAAGGTGCTCACAAGCATCTTCCAGCTGGTTCTCATCAAGAATTACATCGAACATTTCCTGATAAAGGAAATGATAAATGTTTTAGTGAGGATGACCACCAGCTCAAGGGAGATCAGCTAGTGAAATTGATGACTACTCTTTACACTCATAAGAAATAAACCACATTTATAATAATTGTATTATTTCACCTTTTTTTTCCCTTGCAACTAATACAAAGGACAGAACTTATAACCAGTGCTGATGTTACATTTGCCAAGTCAAGCCCTCATGAATTCCACATCATAATGCACCAGCAGTCAATGAAGGTGAGAATAAGCAGCTTGAAGAAATTTTAAAACTCAAATATTCAGAAAGAAAGGTTGCATATTAGTTTCTCAGCTACTGAAACAAAACTGAACTGTTAGAAAAAGAGTCCAACATCCATACGTAGAACAACTAAGTCAAAATTAAGACAAAGTAAGACAAATGAGTAAATAGCAAGAGTAATGAAGAACATAAAATTTCCAAGGCAAAAGATTAATCACAGGCAGGGGGACAATTTCTTCTCTGGTCAGGGAGTTAGATGTCCTCCAGAAGGCAATTCTGAAAGCCTATGCAGGTTTCTAGCATTGTTCATTGAATCTCAGAATCACAGAATCACAGGGGTTGGAAGGGACCTCTAGAGATCGAGTCCAACCCCCCTGCCAAAGCAGGTTCCCTACAGCAGATCGCACAGGTAGGCATCCAGGCAGGTCTTGAACATCTCCAGAGAAGGAGACTCCACCACCTCCCTGGGCAGCCTGTTCCAGTGCTCCGTCACCTCACTGTAAAGAAGTTCTTGCGCACATTTGTGCGGAACTTCCTGTGCTGCAGTTTCCAGCCGTTTTCCCTTGTCCTGTCTCCACTCACCACTGAAAAGAGTTCAGCCTCACCACTCTGCCCCCCACACCTTTGATATTTATAGACCTGGATCAGGTCTCCTCTCTGTCTTCTTTTCTCAAGGCTGAACAGATCCAGTTCATTTAGCCTTTCTTCATAGGGGAGATGCTCCAGGCCCTTCACCATCTTCATAGCCCTCCGCTGGACTCTTTCCAAGAGATCCTTGTCTTTTTTGTACTGAGGAGCCCAGAACTGGACGCAGTACTGCAGATGAGACCTTACCAGGGCAGAATAGAGGGGGAGGATCACCTCCCTCGACCTGCTGTCCACCTCTTTTTAATGCACCCCAGAATGCCATTGGCCTTTTTGGCCACAAGGGCACACTGCTGGCTCATGGCCAACCTGTGGCCCACCAGGACACCCAGGTCCCTCTCTGCAGAGCTCCCCTCCAGCAGGTCATCCCCCAACCTGTACCAGCACGTGCAATTATTCCTCCCTAGATGCAAGACTCTACACTTGCTTTTGTTAAACCTCATCTGGTTTCTTACTGCCCAGCTCTCCAACCTGTCCAGGTCTCACTGAATGGCAGCACAGCCTTCAGGTGTGTCAGCCAATCCTCCCAACTTCGTATCATCAGCAAACTTGCTGATTGACTTCCTGAGGAGCTGAGAAACTAGTATTGTAGTTGAGATGCTTGATCTTCAATGATGAAAATGTTTCCCTCACTTGGCTTCTTAGCTATGGCAAATTTCCACATCTGTAATTGAATTGAATGTTTGTTTTTTGGGTTCTGATCACACTCCTGGCAGCTGAGTTTGCTGGTAATACCGATCACCGCATCTTACAAACGGCCTACATGCATGTCAGTAGAAGGACCACAGAGTTCTCAGCTATGTGCACCCCACAGGTCTTTGCCAAAATTGTGACCAAGAATGTCAGCGGTGATGGATTGTGGTGACATGCTGAAGGAGAACTATTCAAGTCATCTGCCTTACCTTAAACTGCACTATCATTAAGAGTTCATTTTTAGATCAATAACTCAGAAAAATATATCAAGTAAAACAAACACTCAGTTTGTTCAAGCAATGCATGTATTCAGCACATATCCTAAAAAATGTTTGTGTTTTTCCTCTGTATCCTTGTGTAGAGCCCAGAGACCTCAGGAGGCATTCTGCAAAAAAAGCAGTGAAATATGGCCAGAAGGAAGCAAACAATCCTAGCAATTACATAACTAACTTGGTTGACAGGAAAGGCATCTCTAAACAAGAATCAGCTCCTCTTGGCCGAACAAGACACAAATCAACATCAACTCACAGGAGGACACTGTGCCAGTTTATCAGCTGCCACCATCTGAACATTAAGATGTTTGGCCTGAGATTTCCCTCGAGATTTTATTAACCTCTGTAAAACCTGTGGAAAATAAGACATTTGTAAAAGTATGCCAGTAGTGGAAAAACAAACAAACAAACAAACCAACAGTAAATTTGACCTCTCTCCCATTCATTTTGAGAAGACTTTTCTCAGTAAATGGCCTCTAAGCAGGTACGGACATAGTGTACGTTTTCAGCCACTTAAAATCTACTTGAGCAGATGATTTTCTTCATTTCTGGCTTTAGGAGCACCTCCCTTGCTGTTTACATCCAGAACAAGCTAATTTTCATTTACACCCCAATATCTATGTGCTGTTACCAACACTAAAAATTTCCCTTCCTCTGCCACTTCTGTGTTTGTTTCTAAATCAAAATTTAGATTTAGAATATATTTAGAATCTATTTAATTGCTCTCCTCAATAATCTTATCATTTTTCAATCTTGTCTTTCAAGTGCCTCTTCACAAGGCTGGTTTTTCAGAGCATGAAAGTACATAACCAGGAGGTGCTAGAGTTCACTACATCACTCTGATACTCTGATTACTTTAAAATCTTTCCTTCTTTTCTCTACTGATTGAATAAATCATTAGCATCACTTACAAGACTGATACTAAAGAACATGTGAACACACACAGCATAATCCCAATTTTAAAAATCATTGGAGCTACAGTGTCTTTTCCCACACGTGCTTTGGTAACCTGACAGCTAAAGTATTCTTTGAATAGTAATATTTCACTATCCTAATTAAAATATTAACAGTATATAACTTTAATAAGGATACATGATCATCTGCGTTTAACAAAGCAAAATAAAAAGAAAAATGCCTACATAACACAAATATTTACCTTAGGAGAAAATATTTACCTTAGGAGAAGAAATCTTTACGTATACTATAATGGGTGCCAGAGAGGTTTTGCTCAGCTGTGCTGGGTGATTTATGGTGTCAGCATCAAGCACTACCAACTGCAGTGTCCTTGCTAATTCAAAAATCCGTTCAATTTCACTCTGAACTTCAGCTGCAGGTAAGGAGAAAATCATAGTCAGGAAAATGTTTAAAGGCAAATAATTATGAGCTATGTAAAAAGAAAAACCTGAAGTATGCTGATGTGTTGCACTACCAAAGGACGATGCAGGTGGGAGCAGCCACTAACTGCTCATGTCTGCTGCTGGGAAATGAAGGTGGCATTAGTGAGAGCCCCAGCTCACTTTCCCTGCAAGGGAACTCCCTGACCCTCTTTGCCTTCACTGCTCTCACTTTCCCACACAACCCAATCCCGTGTACATAAGAGAAAAACCTGCTTCATCATGTACCTATTCCTATGCTACTGTTCCATGTAAATAATTTCGTCTTGGGCATTAATTCCATGAGGCAATCAATTTGTCCAAACTGGACTCCTAGGATAGGCATGAAGATGTACTGAGGTTCTGTTTTGCCATTTATTTAATCTCACCAAAGCATCAGAAAACAGGATTTCCTTCATATAGTATGGTGCCATATTAAATATTTGGTCTTAATTAATGAAAAGTAAAATCATCCTGGAAATGGAATGACATTTTCCTGCTCAAGTCTTGCCATGTCTTCACAGAGAAGTGCCCCTCTACTTTGCTCTCTTGAGGCTTTCTGTGGAGTACTGCATCCAGTTCTGGGGCTCCCAACACAAGGACATGGAGCTGTTGGAGCGGGACCAGAGGAGGATCACAAAGATGACCAGAGGACTGGCATACCTCCTCTACGAGGACAGGCTGAGAGAGCTGGGGCTATACAGCCTAGAGAAAAGAAGGCTCTGGGAAGACTTCATAGCAGCCTTCCAGTACCTGAACAGGGCCTACAGGAAAGATGGGGAGGGACTTTTTATAAGGGCATGTAGTGACAGGACAAGGGGAAAGGGTTTTAAACCAAAGGAGAGACAATTTAGACTAGATATTAGGAAGAAATTATTTACTGTGAAGGTGGTGAGACACTGGAACAGGTTGCTCAGTGAGGTTGTGGGTGTCCCCTTCCTGGAAGCATTCAAGGCCAGGCTGGATGGAGCTGTGAGCAATCTGGTCCAGTGGGAAGTGTCCCTGCCTGTAGCAATGTGGTTGGAACTAGACGATCTTTAAAGTATCTTCCAACCCAAGCTATTTCAACTATTTCAACTATTTCAACTTGTGAAATTACACAAGTTGAGGGACTTTCTATGAAGTTAGAGAGCCAGGCAAGATTGTAATCCACATGAGTTTTAAGATCGTGCACACTCCGTGAAATAAAATCAGTATAGATACCTAGACAGTTCAAAGCAAATATTAGAAGATATCCAGCAGACACTTAAATGTCAAGAAGAGGTACTAAATACTTATTAAATATTTTCTTGAAATTACACTGTCAGCATTTTATCTATTGTGCTGGCCACAAGCATTATGTTTACTGGAAAATACAGACAATGGTGTCTGGCTACCTGAAGCTACTCACTCAGGAAAAGCCTCTCTCTAAAGAGAGATGCCCTTTTCAAGAAGTGTTAGGAGATAAATTTTTGTCTTCCTAGAATAGCATAAAAATTTGGCAGCACAATAAGGCTGAAAAATTTCCAGGAGAGAGAATTTCATCTTTCATCTCCATTTACTTTAAAGTCTTTTGCTCCAAGTTAAGAAGTGAATATTACAATCACTTCATGAATTAAGTAACATCTTAAGTGGCCAGCAGAAAATCTATGTGTGGTATTCTGTACTGGAGGAGTTCAACATTGTTTTGGATCAATTGAAGATCCTCTCCATCCATTTGTAGTTATCTCCTGTTATGGCGGAGTCCATGTCAGTCTTTTACAACAGAGAAGATTCTAAGATGTGCATGGTGTTCTGGAACAGAGAGCATCAGTGTGTGCTTTCCTGCTTGTCAATAAAAGCACAATGGCCCAGCTGCTGTCTGAATTAGGACCATGTTTTTGAAGACAGGACTTCTGATAGATCTTGGCACATTTATGATCACATATTCAGCAATTTCAATGTGTATAGATATTGCTGGAATGATTCAATATCATTACCTCTGTGATTTATTAGAAGATAATCAATAGTCTACGTCTAACTTAAGTCCAAGCACCAATTAGAATAAACACATCAGAGACTATTTGTCTCTGCGTATTGACTGTTCTGATGATGAGATTGAGCTGCTTTCCTGCAATTGTAAACCACGCTCAATGCTTCAGTCAATATCAATATCAGCTAATGTATAATTTTTAATACCATTTCAGATAGCTGAAAACCTTTGTTCAAGACGAACTGTATCTGCAAAATCTGTTTTTTTGACAGCATGTCTTAATTTTGGCTGGGGAAGTAGTATTTGCTACACTACTGCCAGTGTAGGATATGTCACTGCATACTAAGATTTCCTGCTATACTTTTTGAAGCAATACTTTGCTAATGCTGAGGATGCCTTACTATCTTCTGTTGTGAATCATATTCAGGGCAATAACTGCAGATAACTATAGTCCTATGAACCAACAAGTTTCCACCTGTGTCTGGAGGTGGAAAGAGATCTTTTTCATCAATTAAAGGGCATTTCAGTATTTATCTTTCTCAGCTCTGGTATAGCAGAAAAGTTCAAGGACAAGCACTGCATGGCTTCTGGACTAACATGTGCTTCTGCCTCTCAAATCAAGAGTGGGTGAAAAAATGCCACAGAAGTCTCTGATGAGGTCCCAGTCTTCAGTCCCTAGGAGTATACTTCTCCAGCTTCCAGAAGAACCTGCATTTTTTCTTGAAACCGTCCTTATATTCTACCTCTCCACTATACATACTGCTGCTGCAATTACACAGCCATTTAACTGCAATAATTTTTCTTTTCAGCTTTTTTTTTTTTTTTTTTTTTTTAAATTTTCCATCTTTTAGCTTGCTGAAAATATTTCATTTACATGTCCAGGTAACCTTGGTTATTATACGCATATCTATGAGCTTAAAAATTACAATATTACTTAGTCTCTAGCACACATTTTATGCCAATATAATTACCAATCATATGTAAGTCAGTGCAGTACCATGAGAAAATGCAGAGATGTGTTGCTGAGAGCTCTCTCTATTTCAAAGAAATAAATAACTTGTTTTTTCTTCATATGTCCTTTAGAAACCTTCAGGAAATTTCATTAAAATACTTTGACAATACTGTATCACAAAATTATTTGTAAGTTAGAATTTTGGAAAGTCAGAACAAACTTCTATTTCAGAACTACCTGGAGAATTCATTAAAGACGTCAGATGTTAACAAGACTGACCTGGCAGAAAACTCAAAAAAGCATTCTGAGACAAAAAAAGGCTGATAAATTAAAGGTGGTTCAGGATCTTTATGCCAGTCTTTCCCCACCTGTGTGTAAAATGACATAAAGCCACATCCTCATGATAATCCCAAGCTGCTTGAGGTTTAGCCGGTTACTTTATCAAATCTGAGAATGTAATGCCTACAACTGATAGTTCTGTACATCATAAAGAGACAACTAGAATTTCTCATGACAAATCAAACATGTTTTTCCTTCTCTTTTATCTACATTAGATAATTGAGGCTTTTAAACAGAAATACACTCTTAGTCAAATCCCAATTATGCATTCCTGTTCCATGGCCTCTGTAAGGAGGAAAGTAGCCTTCTGAACCCTAGCTAACTTTTAAGCTTTCCCCCTAAATCTGATTTTCTGGGGTTACACTTCCTAGAAACACGTCATATGTAAAACAACTGACATTAAACTGTCAAGTATGGAGAATACGTAAAGCTATCATACGTATGTTACGTATGTGTGTAAATTGTTACTAAAGTTTCAAGCATTTAACTGGACTTTCACATAGATATCAAGAAACAAAACACAATGCTGAAATTTGCACTGAAACTTCATTACTATTTCTTCAAGCTTTTCTATTTTACTTTGAAAAACCAAAACTCTGGGATATCAACCAAATGATGTGAATGGGAGCTTTATATTTATCTTGAGACAGATTTCCAAAGGTAGGCATTTGATTGAACATGCAAATTGGGTGCATATAATGCCTGATTTGTTACTACTTATGCACATACAATTAGGTACACAGCAGCAAATAAACAGACTCACAGTCACTTGACTGCAATCAATTTATGATACACACAGTGACATTTTACATTAGCACTAATGTGTGCATTAAAATATACAGACTAAACACCTTAGAAATTTATAGTGGAAAAACCTAATCTTTAGTGTTTACTTGTCCATCTCAACTTCATTTTTAGTATTACTTAAGTAAGGAAAAATGGCAAAATTTACAGGGGAAAAAAAAAAGAACACCAACAAAACAAAAAAAATTAGCAACACCGTATAGCATTGATTTTTGTCTATCAGTGAGCCAGTTACTAGAAACACAGTGATTTTGTGAGGTACAACAAAGCACTGAACACAAAACAGCAGGAAAAGTAATTTGCAAGCTTTTATACATACCCAAAACATCTGGAAAGGGAGAGCATTAATGAAGCAAAGAATGGAAAAAGCCAAGACAATCAGGTTCTTGTACAAAGCATACAGCATGAGGCAAGGTTATAACAAGTGTAACATACACAGCAACGATGAGAAAAAGGTTTGGGTCATTTTGACAAAGAAATGCAGCAAAAACACGAAGCTCGTTCAGCAGTTTCTGCAAATGACATGTGCACATGCAGAAATTTAACCAAGCCAATTGGGACTGACTGATTTTCAGGCGAATGGGATTTAACTGTGTACTGTACTGCTTGAAAAGTCCTTTTTTGAAATTACAGATTTCTTTTAGGCTTTTAGAGAAATGAGACAATTGCCCTTAAGTTTAGTTAAACTCATAAAAGTACTGATAAGCAAATATTTCCCTTTAAGAACAGAGGAAGTTTTCATATAGGAGAATAATGAAACTGCACCTTTCTACTAAATCTTTATGAGCTAATCACTATTTTATAAGATCCTTAAATAGATTAGTTTTACACTAGAATGCTCTAAGAATCATAAATATTTAGCTGTAGCCTTGGTTTCCAACGAATCAAATCCCCAAGTCTGTTTTTAC